AGCGCCGGGGGACGGCGGGGCTGAGCGTCGAGAGCCAGCGGGGCTGAGCGCCGGGGGTGCCGGGGACCGGGGGCGCCGAGCGCCGGGGGCCAGCGGGGCCGAGCGCCGGCGGTGCTGGGGACTGGGGGCGCCTAGCGCCGGGGGTGCATCAGCACAAAACGCAACCCTCCCCTTTTGCTGATACACCGGCACCCCAGGGCCCGAGCCGACCCAGGCTGGAAACGCCGGGGGGGCCAGCCTGGGCCGCACCTCCTCCCCCCACACCTCCCCTTACCTGCTTCAGGCTTCCCGCGAATCAAATGTGCGAATCAAATGTTCAAGGGAAGCAGGGGAGGTGGCAGAGTTGGGGCGGGGACTTTGGGGCTGGGGGTGTGGGCGGGGCGGGGCCCGTGGAGTGTCCTCCTTTTGGAGGCTCAAAATATGGTAACCCTAGCCCTGGGCCCACGATGGGCTTTCAGGACCGATGAGCTGGGCTGCAAGGATCTGGGGCTGTTACGCGAGAGGTTGGGATACCACACCCCTACTCCGCCTCACTCCACAGGGAGCCCCTGGGGAGCTTTGCGGAGCCAAGCCAACTCCCCCTGCATCCCCTCTCTGCAGAAGGTGGGACCAACCCCGCCGTTTCCTTCCCAGGGAGCGGCGGAAATCTCAGCCCCGCCTCTTGCCTGCTCTAGGGGGTGGGGCGTATTCTCGCTAGCCCCTTCTTCCCTGAAGGGGTCGTGCGCAGCCTCTTCTGCTAAGGCGGGTGCCCATTGGCTAGCACGCGACGGTTTCACTTCCGGGTGGAAGTCGCTGCGTGGATGGCGACTGCGGGCGGCTCGGGCCCGGCAGGCCCTGGGGTGCTGGGGGCGGCCGGCGGGGGCTGGGACGGGGACTTCCTGGCGCGGTACCGGCTGGTGTCGGCCAAGCTGCGGAAGCGGTTCCTGCGGAAGCCGAACGTGTCGGAGGCGGCGGAGCAGTTCGGGGTGCTGGCCCGGGAGCTGCGGTCCCAGGAGAGCCTTCCCTACGCCGCCTGGTGCCAGCTGGCTGTGGCCCGCTGCGCCCAGAGTCTCTTCCACGGGCCCGGCGAGGCGCAAGCCCTGACCGAGGCCGCGCGCCTCTTCCTGCGCCAGGAGCGGGACCTGCAGCAGCGGCTGAGCCTAAGCGGCGGCTTCGCTGAGCATCTGCAGGCCTCGCATAGCTGCTTCGCCTTCGCCGCCCGCCTGCACCTGGAACTGGGGCAGCCGGCGCTGGCGGCAGGGCTCTGCCTGGAGCTGGGATCGGCGTTGCGGGACATGGAGCAGCCCGGCCAGGCCGCCCCGCAGTTCCAGCGTGCTGCCGAGCTGCTGGCGGCCGCTGAGCTGCCCCTGGAGGCGCTGCGCTGCCTGGGCGAGCTGGCCTCCTGTCTGCTGCTCACCCGCGACTACGACGGGGCCCTGGCTGTGCTCACCCAGGCGCAGCTGCTGGCCCAGGCCGGGCCCAGCCCACCCAGCGGCGCCTTCCTAGAGGTGTTAGTGCGTTGCGAGGTGTCCCGGGTGCTACTGCTTCTGCTGCTCCAGCCGCCGCTACCCAAGCTGCTGCCCGAGCATGCCCAGACCCTGGAGAAATACTGCTGGGAGGCCTTCGAGAGTGGGGCGGGAGCTGGGCAACTCCCCCAGGCAGGGTACCTGCCCCCAGGCCTCTTCCTCCTGCTGCAGTCCACTGTCATGGCCTGTCAGGAGAAGGACCTGGAGGCACTCAAAGTGCTGCAGGCTGAGCTCTGGCCGCTGCTCAACCCCGAGCAGAACCACCTGCTCCACCTGGTGCTTCAAGAGATGATCAGCCCCTCTGGGTAGGGGGCCTAGTTCCCCCACTCAGACTGGCTTCAGTTGCCTGCTGCCACTTCCATAGCGGAGTCAGTCTCCCACCAGAAAGAGAGGCCTGCCCCACCCACTTGCTGTTGCCTCAGTGGGACTCTGACGTCCCCCCTCCCCCCCCCCAACCCAGCATCACCAGGGAGATAGGCCTTGCCCACCTTCAGCTGCCATCTCTATGGCATCTCTGCACCATCTGCCATCTCCAGAGACTAACTGCACCTTCACTGATCTGTTGCTATCTCCCTCATATAGCCTGAAACCCTCACCAAGCATTACAAGAGAAATTAACCTCATACACCTACTGCAACCATCCACAGGAGAGATGAGCCCCATCTGCTACCACGGGGAATGGCCTTCCCCTCTGCTGCCAGCCACAGGAGTCTAATCCCTACCCTGCATCACCACCAGCATGACTTGTTTCAACCACCATGGGATTCTGTTTCCCACAGTAGCCATATAGAGGGTTTTTCTATTTTGGCCCATCACTGCTACACAGCCTTGGTTCATCTCTCTGCTACCATCCGCATGTAGGAAAGGACTATGAGCTAGAGACTATTTTCCCATTGGGGACAAGGAACTTGGACATGCCAACACTTCCTATTTACTACTACTAGTTATAGAGATCTTTCCTTTTTCAGCCCCAGTATAGCCTCTTTGCCATTCTCCTCTCACTCACAGATTCAAGACACCTGCTACTGCAGGAGATGACCTGATCCATTAGAAACTGTATGTATGCTACTACAGTTTGAGGTAGTAAGAGGTGGGATTCTTGCCATTTTTTATGAAGAGACTGCACATGGCACTCATTTTCCAAACAGTCCACAAATGCCAGGATTCAGTCTTTTAGTTTAAAATTCTCACATTTGGAGATGTAATGACTAGTGCATTTTTTCTGTATCAGTGTAATTCACACGTGAGCAAGCTGGTAAAAATACCAGTTTCTGTTTAAAGTGCTAAGTTTTTAAAAAAAGTAACTAAACTCATAACTCTTTCCATTTAAAAACTAAATTGGAAGCTAAAGTTTTATTCTGTACCTTCTGCTCCAGATTCTGTTTCAATGTTGGCATCTGTTGCCTAAGAATTGTACTTTCTAACTACCTGGCTCTTGGTCCTAGCTCTTGCTCTGTTAATAAATGCTGTAGATAGAACTCTCAAGACACCAATGTATCCTGAAGCTTGTAGTTTTTTAAGATGTAATTCAATAAATATTGTAGACTTTTAAAACTGTTTACTACTCAATACAGATATCACTAGCTACAACCTAGGCAATATGGGGAGTCACTGCTGCTGGCTCTTTAGCCTCACTGCCTTGTTGGTTTCATTCAACAAGTAGGTAAAGATGGATGTAATGTGTTTAATTTTGGCATTTGCTACAGAGACTATATTACTTTATGTATCAGGCTTGTTACAGCAGTTTAAAAGGATTGTATTGGTGTAGGAACATTTACCTGTAATTTTGGCCCTCAGATATGTTTTTGCAGCTCCTTCTAAGGTGTATAGGAGTTGTGCATTCATAGTGGAGGGCAAAATTGAGCCTTGATGTATATCTAAAAAGCATGTGAACTTTGATTAGTTTTTAACACTTTTTAACATTAACTTTTCTATTTTAATGATGAGAATTAAAAATTGGATACTAGACCCTTTCTGTGGTCTAATGAACTAAACCTCCTTTCCTACTTGAATTTCCATTTCCAATCTCATTTTACAAATCTCTGGTGTAAATTTAATGTTTGTATGGCATTTCTTATGTGCTGAATAATGATAACACTGCCCTGAGAAGAGCATGTTGCTGGCCATCTTCTGGAAAGAATGTTTTCCTGCAGAGGATGAACTTTAGTTGCGCCTTTCTGGGGTGGGTTCCTTTTAATCATATTTAGGCATCCTAAAGAAACAATGTTTGTTTGTTTGTTTTGTTTTGTTTTTCCTTTTTGCAAGCTGGATTACCTTTGACACAAATGGCACCTTGTGGACCTCAAGCTATGTAGTGTTTCTACCTCACATGGTCTTCTGTGTGAATAAAAGTGAGGCTGTTTTGGAAGTTGCTTAAAAAAATACTTCAAGCCTTTGTTGTAAGTGGAGACAAAACATCCCTGCAAAGCATTGGAAATTGATGGGTATTTTGTGTCATTGTTGCTTTATGTGCAACTGCAAACTGATTTATACATATAAAAGTGAACTTTACATTATTTCTTAAATGTTTTGAAATGTAATTTTTACTGACATGTTTTGAAATCAGTGCATTCACTGAGGTATGACTAATGAAGCATCTATGTACTGGAACTCAGAATGGAGTTTCCTGTCTTTATTATCCTGAAGTAGTCTTCAGCTGTCTAAGCTTGTGGGTGCTGTAAGGCCTGAGTCTAGGTGCAGTGCCAGAGGGCAGGATATGGGGGGAAAATGTTAAAGGGAGCTACTATTGTATGTTACATCTTTAAGATAAAACTGTGTAAAAACAAAACTGCAGCTGTCCCTCCTGTGGGGAAGACTCATAACCATATACTGAACTGGTGATGGGTGGGAACAGACTGCTTCAACACAAGCTTAGGCCTAAGGGCTATCATAGGAGGGCTGAAAATGTTGGATAGAGAGAAGGGCTATTCTAACCATAGAAAACTGTCCTTGGTTAGAGAGTGATTATTACATATTTTCCCAGGGTGTGTGATTCTGTAACATACTCATACCCTTTTCTTTCTACTCTTTTAATCTGCATTATGACCTTTTAAAAAAGGAAAACTCCTTCCTCTATAGTACACTCCTACCTGCCGCATCATGTTTACAATAGCCCTCTGGATTGGCAATAACAGTGATGTCTACGGGGGCTGACAGGAGCCAAAGCATTAGGCGTTTCTATAGCTGTGGTACTCCTTTCCCTTGAGAAAGTGGAATGAGTATGTTCAGTGTAAATACGGACTCTGGCACGGCTTTCCTGCAGCAGTAACTTTTTTAAAGGCGTGACTGCTTCCTATATGCCAAAGAGTCAAATAATCGTTGCTTGCCTTAGGAGGAGGTCTGGCGATAGCGTTTGGACCTCACTTTAGCCCCAGCTGGCAGGGTCACTGCGCCCCCTATGCTCGAGTTACGGCCATCCCCGTGGCGTGCGGCTGCTCCGGGGAGGT